CAACCCACACTGCACAGAAAATTAAGCAAATGCAAGCGGCTTTGGACATTTGTTTACAGTGTCAGCTCATATTTGCCCACGTCATCGATACTAACAGTGGCCAGGTGGCCGATGACGAGTTTGCCGGCCATTTGACGCTCTTTGAGAGCCGCCTGCAGAATGCGCTGAAGACGCTTACGAAGCTCACGCTGGCCGGCAAGGATCCCAAGCAGTTGTCAAAGCTGTACAAGCGCATGTATATGGAAACCTTGACTGGGAAACATGGCCTAGGGGCCCAGCAATCGTCGACAGCTTGCTTAAAGCATTTGCACATGCTGCTCGCCCGGCTACGGGCCATGTGCGAAACACAGCTGGCCCCACACCACCTCCACTTGCTCCCGGGCGGCTTTCAATTCTGTCTGCAGCTGCCGGACTTCCGAGGAGTTCCTTACGCCCCACAATCGCGACACTTTGAGCTGCGGATCAGGGTAGGTTTCAAAACCGGGGTTGCCTCATGCGCATGGTACTCACGTAGTTCCTTATGAAATCTGGCAGGATTGTGTTCAGCAGGCTGAGCAGGGCGATGATAAAAAACAGCGTCATGCTTTTATGTCAGTTTTATATCCAATTCCGTAAAATTTGCGACAGTCTGTGATAAATGGAAAACAAAATAGTGGGGCAGTGCTGGATAGCGACCATCAGAAAGTCAGCTGATTGGCATTGGTCAGTGGTACAGGACAAGGGTCGAATTCAAAAATATCAATAAAAAATTATCCACAAAGAATAAAAGCACTGAAGCACAAGTCAGTGTAAATGGAACATTTATTGGGAAAAGGATTTTATATTATTGGCTACTTTAGTATAACTACTTCCATGTAACTAAGTTGGCAGCGCCGGCTCTCTAGTGTTGGATAACTCTCAGCAGCTCTCAGCTGAGCCGGCAAAACAAAAACACATCTGCTCGAAGTTTCTTGAATATTCGACGGGATTGGGTTTTCAGGCAGTTTCAAATGAGCCAGCGCGATTATGGAAGATAGAAATGAAGAGGTGAGACTGTGCGCCGTGAAAATAAAATAAATAACACCTGTTTTCGATAGATTGAACGGTGCAGGAGTATTGGGCCACACGAGCTGGACGTGGTGAAAAGCCAGGCGGTGATTAAGTTGTCCCCCGTGCCCGTGCCCGCCCACTTCAAGCGGCTGGAGTGCAACACCAACTTGAATCTCCCTCCCCTCAACTGGCTAACCACGTCGCACAGCAGCCATGGATTACATCAGGCCCTCTATCAAAGTGCTGGGTTTGCCAGTTTTCGATTGGGCCAGATGTTTCCGGACTGCGTGGGGGAGGTGGATGTGGTCAGCGACGCGGAGAACATCAAGCAGCTACTTAAGTTGCCTTACAGTGCGCAGAGCGCCATCAGCATGGTTGTGCACAAGGTGGGCAACACATTGCTCCTGGATGAGTTCGACATCCAGAAGTATCTGCTGCGAAAGGCGGACGACGACTGGAAGTGGTTAAGGTCCTTCATTCTGGAGCACGTCCTGACATATGGGGATACACAGCACAACTACTGCCTGAAGGAGCGGTCCCGCGAGGCGTTGCAAACAAAGAATTTGCTGTCCAAGTTCCTGTATCACAGCCTGAAGCAAACTGGTGATGAGCTGGACTACGACGTAGCTACTACACCCACACAGTTAACCAGCCGCAAGCAGGGATTGCCCATCACGGGACCAGTTCTCCCAGAACCGAAGATAGAGGAGAATGTGCCAGACCCAAAGTCCAGCCATGCCTTTAATAGAAACGTGGTCTGGACATTTGAGGATATACGCATGCTTATCGGCACGGATATGCCCATATTTGGAGGGCCCAACAGGCCGTGCATTAGCTTGCGTTTGAGGGATGCCGCCCAGCCCATAAATGTGCTAACCGGCATCGACTACTGGTTGGACAATCTAATGTGCAATGTGCCCGAGGTGGTGATGTGCTATCATCTGGATGGCATCGTTCAGAAGTACGAGATCATCAAGACTGAGGACCTGCCGTACCTGGAGAACTCTCAGTTTTCGCCTCAAGTGGTTCGCAACGTTGCGCAAAACATTTTGGCCTTTCTTAAGGCCAATGCCACCAAGGCGGGTCACACCTATTGGCTCTTCAAGGGGCGAAACGACGACGTAGTCAAATTGTACGATCTAACAACTTTATGCCAGAGTCAGGCATCTGAGAAGTCCGAGGAAGATCCGCCCCAGCAACAGGTTAATCCCTTCACCGTCCCGGTGGGAATGCTGCTTTATTCAGTAGCCCGAAACATGAAGAACACGCTGCCGCACATAAGTCCTAAGGCAGCTGGCAACATACGGGCATTGCTGGATAACTGCATTAAGCTCCTGCCCAAGGAACAGTACCCACAAATCGTGAGCTCCTCCCACTACATACTCTCGGATCTACATGTGCCGGCTGGCATCGATCCAAAGGCGCCCAAGTTTGACGAGGTAGACTCGGATGATCAATCGTTGTATGATGACGATGAAGAGGAGGACGAGGAGGACTATGAAGACGACCTACTAGACTACCCAAGCGAGAAGAGCTACCAAAGTAGCGAGCAGGGCGGTGGCAGAGCTAACGTGGCTGTGCGTCATATTTGTGATGCCCTAAGAGACTTTAAATCCCATGCCAAGAAGTCCAAGCCAGCTCCTCTAATAGCTACAACTGCTGAGCGGTGTAGCTTCTCTTTGGAGCACATTAGTGCTGGACTATCCTGCCTGCAGTATTTCAATGGAAGTCAAGAGGAGAAACTCAAGGAGTCGGAGACAAATGCGAAACAAGAGGAGAAGCGTCGCATTCTGCATGAGGAGCAAAATCCGAATATGGCGAAGCCTTGTAGCGCCATTCCTTTACCATATGAGCAGCTTAAAGTGAGCCAGCAGCCCGCCCAAGTTGTGAAGAAGCCAAACTCCAGGGCCAAGCGCAGCAAATCCAAGGAACTTGCCACGACTGCCAAGTCCAAATCCGTCAATGCCAGCAATCGGCAGATGAGTGCCAAGTTCAACACACAGCACTTCGGCTCCTGGAACGTCCACTTAAAGCTCCTGCTGTTAGAGAAGGCTTGCCTGACATTTGCCACCTTGGCTGAGCACTATTACGAATCCCGGAGGTACGGATCTACGTTGCGATCCATTGAGCTGGCCTGTCGTTGCCAACAGGTGCTCAACAAGTATATGGCCAATGTGGTTTCACAGTACAGTTGTTTGCTAGGCCGGGCAGGTGACTGCTTTTTCCAGATGTCGAAGAACTGGGACAGCATTGGGGAATATATGCAGCAGTTTGAGGAGCAGGATGCCTCCATGGACTTCATTGGCGACGAGTTGGCGCAGGAGCTGGAAGGCGAAGAAGAGGAGCTGCCCTCATTGGCGCCTTCCAACAATGTGGAGCAAGTGATGCTGCATAGCTGCAAGTGCTACGAACAAGCATTGGAGCATGCCCAGAAAGCGGAAAGCAATGAACTGCTGCGGCGACTAGGAAACGTGCGGAACGAGCTAGGTCTTAAGTACATGTACTGGGCTCAAGGTAGGTAGCAGAACTATTGGAATCATAAATTACTAATGAAAATTATATATTGCAGAAGAGTACAGTGAGTTAATGAAGAAGAGGGAGTCCACAAAAGAAGCTGGCCATGGCCAAACGGATGATAGCCCAACAGCAGATCCTTCCGAGCCGTTGTATGTCAAGCTAACAGTCAACTCTTATGATTGCCTACGTCGAGGCATAGACGCCTTCACTGCCGTAGAAGACAACGTCAATTTGGCCTTTCTATATTGCAATATTGGTCGATTTATGCGCCTGCGCGCCCATCTTACTATGCCCAATGAAAGGTAAATAGTGTATTAATATTCTCTATTCGTTTTTAACTCATTCGGTATCAACTTCAATTAGCGCTATTACCTTGGAAAGCCAAAAAGCCTTCTATAACGAGGCGTTCAGCTATTATGAGAAGGCCAAGGATTGTCTGGATACTCGCAAAGCAAACCCCGAGCTATGGGACCTCGTCCATTGGGAATTATCCACTGCCACTTTTACGTTAGCCAAACAACTTCAGGACCACAGCGCTGCAGACAAATCCAGCCTAGTTGACGCCTCTAAAGAAGTGCTGGAATTGCTCCAGAAATCGTTGCGACTTTGCGATGTCGAACACCCTGGCGCACGCCAAGTACTATACAGTTTTCGATCGGGCTTAATACACAAAAGGTAGGTTCAGGACATTGACTTGCAATATTTGTTAGTTGCAAATAAACAATTGTTGACTTCCAGGATTGCCTCCTTCCACTACTCGCAGCTGCGTTCACATGGCTGTTGTGATTTCGCTCAGCTGCCGAAATCTACTCTACAATTATGTAAATACCACTACGAGAAGGCCACGCAAATACTTGAGAGCCTTAAGGAGGTGGGAGACCTGTTGGTGGTGCAGCTAGAGCGGATTTCCCTTCACGAATTTCTGGCCGAACGTGAGTATACAATCTTTAAGGTCACCAGGAGTTTAGAAATACATTTTCTCCATTTTCCGGCAGTTTCAACCCACACTGCACAGAAAATTAAGCAAATGCAAGCGGCTTTGGACATTTGTTTACAGTGTCAGCTCATATTTGCCCACGTCATCGATACTAACAGTGGCCAGGTGGCCGATGACGAGTTTGCCGGCCATTTGACGCTCTTTGAGAGCCGCCTGCAGAATGCGCTGAAGACGCTTACGAAGCTCACGCTGGCCGGCAAGGATCCCAAGCAGTTGTCAAAGCTGTACAAGCGCATGTATATGGAAACCTTGACTGGGAAACATGGCCTAGGGGCCCAGCAATCGTCGACAGCTTGCTTAAAGCATTTGCACATGCTGCTCGCCCGGCTACGGGCCATGTGCGAAACACAGCTGGCCCCACGACCAGCCGTACGTGTCTTCTGATAGGTTTTAACCCAGAACCCACAACAGTTCGAATTGTATGCATTGCTCGTCGCTTGTTTATTGATGTCTCATCTCAACCCCGCCGCCCGCAGCCGCATTCATCGCTCGCCAAATGATCTGCTCCCATCTGCAAAGCAGCCAGCACCAGCAGCACAGCCAACTGTAGGATCTGCAGATCGAAAATACCATTAATGTACCCATCACGATGAAACCATAATCATCCCATCTCACCTTGCAACGCAGACTACTCATTTTGCAAACGTTTGGAGCCAGTTTTCTGATCTGGTCATCGGCTGCTCGGCTCTTATAAAGTCTGAGGGCCCTGGCCCAAACGTGTCGTATATCTAGATTAGCCTCCACTAAATATCTGTTCAACAAGCTAGCTATATCGGACTTGCGATGGATGTTCAGATCCGTCAATCTTGGCTTGAGGTTTCAGCCGACCCACTTTGGCTTTACATTGCGAATACTGTTACTATTTAATATTTATCGTGTCGTTTGCTAGTTCCAGTTCCCAGTCTTATGTTAATATTTTTACTTAATTCCTAAGAGCAAAGCAACTAGTTTAAATCCCAATAAAGCAATCTGGCAGAGAAACTGCATGTGGAGAAAGATGGTTTTCACCTGTCTTCTGGCTACTGGCTGCTGGGACCCTGAGCCTGGCCAACATTTAAATAATTTATTATTCATTATTAAACGTTTGCGCCCGCCCATAAGCCATTCACAATTTGTGTAGCGCCACTTGAATATTATAAAAAGCTTAGTGCGGCAGTTTGGAAAGTGGAACGGCAAGTGTTTATAATTTTATTGTAATTTTATCTCCATTTTTTTTGCTATTGTATATAAATTCTACCAACGCAGCAGAAGTTTCAGGCCACTGCCTTGACTTCACTGTGTCACTGAAAAATCGGTGTCAAGTTGTCGGCACCGTGGGGCAAACTGCCTCTAATATTGATCGAAACTATGTGGATCCGGAGCACGAAGAGTCATGCGGTCGGAATCTTACGTAATGGGGTCTCGTCTCCGGTAGACGATGGCGTAAGCACAGACGCCTGCTATCTGGACCGGCCCGAATTGAGAGCCAGCATTTTGGCCAGTACGGATTCGGCCTGGCTGCACGTCTCCGGCGGCGTCTCAAGATTGCTGGACAAAGAGCCGCGGCCTGGAACTGCGTCTCCGGGCACCCGGAGAGCCGAAACTTGCATCATATTCGTCACGTAAGAGTTGGGCTTCAGCCTGGATCTGGTATAAAAACAAAACATTGCGCCAGAATAAGACATTAGTTACCTTCGCATCGATCAACTAAGCAACTCAGCCCCAGAATGATGAAGTTCATGGTGAGTCTCAAATTTTACAGACACCCCAAATGATTCTTTGGTTATCCAGAATGATCCCTCCAATGGTATATCACTAAATATAGAGTTGTAAATGATACATCATTGGAGTTTTAATTTCTTGGTTGCTAAAGCAGTTCAAATTTAAATTATACCCCAATTAATTGAATTTCTTCTTGAATCCCTTAGTGCATCTGCCTCTGCGCCATCTCTGCCGTTTCGGCCAACGGCTATGGACGTCCCCGTGGTGGATACGGTGGTGCCCCAGTCGGTGGCTACGCCTACCAGGTGCAGCCCGCCCTGACCGTTAAGGCCATCGTTCCCTCATACGGCGGTGGATACGGCGGCAACCGTGGAGGATATGGCGGTGGCTACGAGTCGGTGGCTGTGCCTGTGTCCGCTGTCTACAGCGGTCCCAATGTGTCCCAGTACGGTGCTGGTTACGGTGGCGCCCCACCAGTCGATGCCCAGGCCATTGCCCTGGCCAAGCTCGCCCTGGCCGCTCCCAACGCTGAATCCCCTCTCGTCTGGAAGGAGGCTCCCCGCCACATCCAGCCCGTCTATCCCCCCAGCAGCTACGTGCCCCAGGAGTACGGACACAGCGAGAAGGTGAAGGGAGGCTCGGCAGCCGCTGCTGCCAGCTCCGTGGCCGCCGGAAAGAAGGGCTACAGCAGGCCCAGCTACTAAGTGGGAACGGGAAACGTGAACAGTGAACCAAGAGCTTACCGTCCCATAAGGAACTAGGTCATAATAATAAAAGCCAAACATCAAGACTTCAATTTTGAGTGCGTTATTCTTGCTGGGTTTCTGGTTGCGGGCCAAGAGTTAAGATCTGCATATCTTAGCGGAATCGGCACAGACTTGCGGTTCAATGCAATGCCATGCGATACTTTGAGCCAGCAAAAATTTCTTGGTCTCATAGTTAAGCGAAAATGCTGGTTGAAGTGGGGAAAATTGTAATGCCAAATAAAGCTGAAGAGCTAAAATTGAGCCAAGTTTAAGTTATACTTCGGCTTAAATATTTGAAGTAGAAAAATGAATTGTTGTATTACAATGGAATATAAAGTAGTTGATAGAAAATATTGTTTTGCCTGAAACACGCTTTAAAATGTTTTTGTTAAATATTTATGAAATTTTTAGAAATGTTAGGTACAATTTCCAAGTTCCAAAAAAAAGATTCTATCACATTTATATCACAATATAAATATTTAGTAGGGAAACCGGCTAGAACCGCTTCTAGAAGAATCCTCCCTTAGGCCAACCAAGTTCCGGGCACAACCGACCTGGAAACCATTACCCCCAAGAATGTGGAAAACATAAAGTTCACCGCAACAAATTTTGGAGTGCATTCGAAAATAAACGCGTTCGTGGGTCCCAGTCCCAATCCCAATTGAGAGAGCCGCGTGTTCGTAGAGCTATCACTACCCAAACCCCCGTGGAATAGCACATCGCGTAACCGAGCGATTTTATAATGGTTCGACAACAAGTATATGGAAGTACATAAATCAAATGTGAGTATATTCCAGCCGGGCAATTATGAAATGCCATTTCTGGGCTGAAACAGAACAACTTGTGTATATAGGTCACGTAAGTGTCCAGGCCAAATTTCGCGTATAAAAGCGGGCGTTTCTGGTCGGTAAATCATAGTTTGATTGATTAACCCAAACCAACAAAACTAAGCACTCACCATGAAGTACCTGGTAAGTTGTGCGAGTCCGCAGAAAGGAGTGGCAGCCATCTAATCCTCCGGTTTCCCCCTCTCCACCATCAGATCGTCTGTGTTACCCTGGCCCTGTTCGCCTACATCAACGCCAGCCCAGTGTACGGCAACCGTGGAGGTTATGGTGGTGGCTATGGTGGCGTTGAGCGCGTCGTCTACGAGGAGGTGCCCGCCTACGGACCATCCCGTGGCTACAACAGCTATCCCCGCAGCCTGCGATCGGAGGGTAATGGAGGAAGTGCCGCTGCCGCCGCCGCCGCATCCGCCGCTGCCGTGAATCCCGGAAGCTACCGCCAGTTCGCCATTCCCAGCTACGAGGTGGATGGTGCTCGCGGCTACGAGATCGGACGCGGCTACGGAAACCGTGCCTACTAATTGCCGCTTCCTCTGGACAGTGAATTAAACTATCGACTCCTTGCTCAATTTCTCGAGTGGCTGTCGTGGCGAAACTCTGAGAATCAGTGAATAAAAGCAGCTTGAACGCAATGGAAAATACCGAACAGAAATCCGTATTGTGTTTTGCATTGTGACATACTTTCCAGCGCACTTGGGTAAAGATTTAGCGGTGGGTCACTAGTTCTATTCCAGAACTATATAGAATAACTATGCACTTCGCGGCAAAATGTCGATGGAGTTTCAGTTAAAGTATTGTCCAATACTTTGAAACACATAAAGAAATATATTTCACCTATTTTGAAATCAGTCTCTAAAAGATCCCCTGACCAAAACGAAAACTATGTGAAAATAATAATATGATATGTCAATGAGCACAAAGATATCATAATGATATGATAGATACGATAATGATAATGTCTATGAAGTTATATTCAAACGTTGCTAGTAAGCATGCAAGTGAATGGTTTTGTTTATGTGAAGGTATAGAAACTAACTTTAAGTCCATATCAGTTTTAATTACCGATCAAGCAAGCTTAGCTGGCACGTTGATTGAACCCCTTGTTGGCCCGTAATCCCATTAACCCGGTGGCGTTCCCTCACGCACCACATGACCAGCCATTAAGCCACCATTGATTTTGGGCCTCAGTGGGAGCATCTGCATCTGCCACCCCCACCGAAGGTCGACCGCCGAATGTGGGCGATACGATGCTGCGGTGAGCAACCTGCTCAAGCCGAAACGAGCTCAACGTGGAGCGTGGAGCCCCGATATCTGGCTAGGAAAAGCTAGAAATCCACAGAAAGTACCCCAACGAGCTGGCCGAGAAGAGACGGCGAAGCAGCTCTTGAGCCGTGATAAATTTCTGGGCGAGATCACGTTTCGAGTGCAACAATGAATTTGCTTATAAAAAGAAGTGTGCTTGGCCATTTAAAGTGTTAATTCTGTCAACTGTGCCAAAACCCATACAACATAGCCATGAACAAGTTCGCTGTAAGTGTCCCTGAGAACCGCTTCCGTATTCCCTGCTGCCCTTTAATTTTCCGGACTTAGGCTAACAGCAAGTTTTCCTCATTTTCCAGTCTCTGGCCGTCATCTTCTGCGCCTGCATCGTGGGCAGCTGCTATGCCAACTACGGTGGCCAGCAGAGCTACGGACAGCGATCCTACGGCCAGGAGGGCTCCGCCGCCTCCGCCGCCAGCTCGGCAGCTGCTGCTGGAGCCGAGGGTCAGCAGCGTTATGAGCGCCCCGTGGAGATCATTGCCGGTGGACCCCGCGGCAGCTATGCCCCCGAGATCCTGCGCCCCATCCAGGTCAGCGGAGGTTATGGCGGTGAGCGACGTGGCTACAACGGTGGCAACTACCGTCGTGGCGGCTATGGACCCCGTTGGACTGTCCAGCCCGCCGGAGCCACCCTCCTGTACCCCGGCCAGAACAACTACAGGGCCTACGTCTCGCCCCCGGAGTACAGCAAGGTGATCCTGCCCATCCGCCCCGCTGCTCCAGTGGCCAAGCTCTTCGTGCCCGAGCACCAGTATGGCAACCAGTATGGCAACCAGTATGGCAACCAGTATGGCAACCAGTACGTCAGCCAGTACTCTGCACCCCGCAGCAGCGGCTACTAGGCGAATACTTGATCCCCAGCCAACCTGGCGGATACTTGATCTCAGCCTGATCGTGTACATAATAAACCACTAGAGAAAAACATAATATTTGGAATATACATTTTTCGGGGCTTTTGTTTCAGCTATTGCTTATATCTATGGGCAAACAAATTTTCGGGGCTTTCGAGCTCAAATGCAGCTGCAGCAGCTGTTCAGAGCGGGTGGAGCATCGTTCACTTGATTGCAGTCGCCACCGGGAATGTCTTTGAGTGGCTTGGCGGAAACGTGCTCCGGATTTGCTTGCTCCGGCTCGCTCGCAAATCACTCACCAAACTGGCTGAAGGCAGAAGGCATAAACATTCAATTACTTATTGTGTCAGTCAGTCAATAATCTTGTGGCCAGAAAGCGCCACAGTTCGCCGAGTTTCATATTTTCTGGCTGCTAAGCAATCGCATCTGCTGACTTGTTTGGGGCCGAACTCTTGGCCAAGAGCTTCAATGCTGCTGGCCAGCGCTTGACATTCGAGTCGAGCGGTGAATCACGGCAAGAATTCTGGCTTCGAGTGCGGCACAATTCTTGGGAAAACTTGTCGGTGAAATTATTGCCATGTGTAGCGGTTTGGCTGAACTAGTTTTAGTTTATTATAAGTGATTTCATGTCTTAGATACTTTTGTACTAGGCAAAGTACGTAACTAGTTATTGGTTTTTGTTAGTAGCAGTATATTTTGCTAATTTGGATTGTGTATCAAGAATAAAGTACTAAACCAAAAGAACATTGATGTAATATAACAAATTAATCTAGATGGCGACATAAAATCAATTTCAGCTATCCTAAATAATTGGCTATAATGCGGAAAATAAGTTCATAGAACTGAGAGGCCATAAGATGAGAGTTTGCCCGCCGCCCAAAGACTTTCCGCCGCTGGTGGTTCCGGTTATTGTCCATTGATCGGTGGTGGCTAAGCCCCTGTTGGCCCGATTTCCGATGCGTGCATGGGCCGGATCGCCGTGGAGTACGGCCAAAGCCCCGATACCGCACACACCAGAAGCGAACAGAGCGTGCCGAGCAGGGGGAAGTCGCTATCAATGGAGCAGCTTCTCGGGGTTCCCGGGGCTACCGGGGTTGTTGCAGCGCCGCAATTTGGCGCGCAATTTCAATGAGCATAGAAATTGGAGACGATCCCGTGGCCTTATCGCCCTGGGACCGAGGGGTCGGAGGGGGGGCTGGAGATGCTGCCAGTGGCTGCTGATGCCCCCCGAAAGTGGCTGGTCATCGAGGTGGTTTGGTCACGTCTGGTGAGCTCACAAATCGCGGAGCAGCTCAAATGGTGTTGCTATAAAAGCAATTTGGACACACGCTCTGGTTAATTAGTTTTCGAAACAGTCCGTTCCTCGCACCACCACCAAAAAAAATGTCCGCCACCCTTCGCCTTCTCTGCCTGATGGCCTGCTGCGTCGCCCTGGCCGTGGCCAATCGTCCGCACTACGGCGGATCCGGATCCGGATACGGCGCCAGCTACGGCGATGTGGTCAAGGCCGCCGAGACCGCCGAGGCGCAGGCTTCCGCCCTGACCAACGCCGCCGGAGCAGCTGCCTCCGCCGCCAAGCTGGACGGTGCTGACTGGTATGCCCTCAACCGTTACGGATGGGAGCAGGGTCGTCCTCTTCTGGCCAAGCCCTACGGTCCTCTGGACAAGCTCTACGCTGCTGCCCTGCCACCACGCTCCTTCGTGGCTGAGATCGATCCAGGTGGGTTCCTAGCCTAAGCAACATTGTGGTGTTCATATACGGATTATATTGAATCTTCACATGACAATACATCACTCTTATGCCACCCGTACTTACGTTCTTTTCTATCTCTACTTTCAGTCTTCAAGAAGAGCCATTACGGCGGATCTTATGGCGAGAAGGCGATTCTGGATACCCAATCCAAACTGGGTGTTGTGGCCATCTAAGAGCTTGGACTGTGTAGCTCCCAAAGTGTTAATAAATAGTGATAGCTTAAAGCAATACAAATCAATGGAACTAATTTATTGGGCGGGGAAAACCAAACCGTATCGAAACTTTATTTGGAAATGCACCGAAAAAAATTCCGCATTTTATGAAACCTTTCTTTGGGTTATCCATAACATGAAAGCAACGCCGTCTAGAAATCTTGAAGACCACCCATTAGTAAAACCGAATTTCACTTACAATTTCTTATTGTTATTATTATGAATAGAATTTCGTTTTTATTGCAAGATACAAAGTAAAAAATGTGAAAATCGCTCAGTTTTGTTGATGCTGATTTAATGTAAAATTCAAATTCGTTACGAGCACACAGATATTTACCTACTAAACATAAAGTGAACTAAAAACAAATAGTAGAAGCGGTTGTAACTCGGTTAACTCGATGCTGCGGTGGCGTGCTTAGTGGGATTTCGGTGACGATTATCATTTCCATTTCAAGTTATTAAGTTTTAGTGCTTTCCGTTCAATGGGCTCCATTTCCATCCAACGTTATTGTTCAGCCAACTCTCTTGTTTGAATCTCTGTCATCTCTCTACGTACAAGTATTATATATCGTATGTGGTATATATCTCTATCGCTAGCAAAACTCTGCCAAGTTTTCGTTGGTTTGTTTTTATTTTGTTTTTAGGTTTTCAGGTTCATTATTTTAATTAAATTACATGAACTTCAAAATAGTATTATTATTATATAGATAGGATGTGTAGTGTTATGTATTTATAGTGTGTAGCCTATACGAGCCCCCGCCGAAGTTCACTGGGTTCTTGATCGCTGCCGCGGCTTTTGGGGGTTGACAAAAAAATTTAAATTATAAAAACTTTCTCACGCATTTCTCGTTCTCGTCCTGCACTCTGAACTCTGCCCTCCGCCAGGTGGTCTTCTTCCTGGGCTCGGATTGGTTGGGTTCGGTTCGGTTAGCGTTTGATAATGAAATGATCTCGGTGCGGAGCGTGGGGCTCTATTCGGTGATCGTCCGTGTGGTCTCCTGGATGTACACCTGGGATCCGGGCACCGTCGAGGTGGTCACGAATGTGCGGTGCTTGGCGCGGATGATGTTCAGGCTGGACTCGGCGGTGTCGGCACGATCCTCGGCAGCCTCCAGCTCGCGCTGGAAGCGGCGCACCCGGGTGGTGGTCTGCTGGGAGACACCCTCCTGCTCGGACAGCTGGCGGCGGTAGATGTTGATCTTGGCAGTGGACTTGTCCAGCGCGTCCTGCAGCAGGATGAGGTTCTTCTGGTCCTCCTCGCACTGCACCAGCACCTCCTTAACGGTGCGCTCCTTCTTGCGCAGAATCTTGATGGTCTCGGCGTGGCGGCGCTTCTCCTCCTCCAGCTCCAGCTCCAGATCGCGGATGCGGGCTTCCAGCTTGCTGATGATGCGCTTGCTGCCGGCGACGGCGTTCAGCTCGACCTCCTCCAAGCGGATGGACAAGTTCTGGGTGGATTGCAGAAGTTGGTAGAGTCGTATAGTAGCAGATAGGTAATAAAATATACAAATATAGAAGCCAATCTATATCCCAAAGCACCCACCTTGACTTCGACTTCCAAGGACTTCTTGATGGTCTCCAGCTTAACGATGCGCTCCTGCTCCTCATGCACCTGCTCGACGACGTGCTTGAGCTCCACCTGGACCTTCTGGTAGCGCTCGTCGCTGATGCGCAGCTCCTTGGACACCTCCTCGTAGTCGGAGGCGATCACGGTGAGCTCCTGCTCCAGCTTGGACTTGATGGAGACGAGGCTGACATTGGAGGTGGTCAGTTCGTTGATGCGGGAGGCAGCCTCCTCGTACTGCAGCTCCACGGTGCGCTTGGCACGGTTGGCGCTGTCCAGGTGGGAGCGCACCTCCTCCAGCTCGCCATTCAGACCGGCCAGACGGCGCTGGGCAACGGCATACTGGTCCAAGGTGGCCTGCAACTGGCGCTGGACATCCTCGTAGTGGGCCTGCAGTTCGGTCAGCTGCAGCGACTGCTTCTTGATCACCTTCTGCAGATCGATGTTGGTCTTGTTGGCCACATCCAGGGACATCTCCAGCTCGGTGATCTGGATCTGCAGCTTCTTCTTGATGCGGGTCACCTCGGTCTTCAGCCGGGTCTCCGCCTCGATGACGCGGGCATTGAGCTGCTCGATCTCGATCGAGGTCTGCTTGCTGCGGATTGCATACTTTCATTAGAACTTTGACACATTTTCCATCCATCAATCGATTGCATTGATACCAAGAAGTAGCCCCAGTTTGCCACACAATGACCCTCCGTCGATTCGCTTTGCTGGCTCTATTTTTGGCCCCAATGCCTGACCCACAATTTTACATTTTTCGCACCACTCAGCAGTTGGGCACTCAACCACTCAGCCAGTCAGCCACTCAACTCAACTCAGGTGCTCTGGCATTGTCAAAAATGTTTCATTGTTTCGCTGGCTGCTGCATTCGCGAATTTCGGTGTATTTTTACGCATGATAAAGACATCGAACTTGTCACAAATAGCTGTTGCCTACATGCCAAACTATTTGCCGACTAGTTCCTTCTCCCCCTAAATTTAATTTTTTGGTTTTTGTGGGGTAAGTGCATCATGCGTCTATTCTTGGGCGAAGGTGCAGCGAGCCAACTAAATTTGAGTAATGTTTGCGCTTCTGATACTCTACCTGATTCACTTTCTAAACTATTTAAAGGAGATGCACCTGTTGCAATTAGTGATAAGTGAACTATGACTACTGAATTCTATTTCAGTGGCGATAAGTCAATTAATAATGCGGTGATTGAACATATTACCTTTGAAAACATAGAGGTGCTTTTACCTTTATATTGATACAGACATTTTTTGCTCTACTCGCAGCCTCATTTCCGATTCCCTGGTTATATAATAATATAATCAGTCACTGTTTCCTAATTCCGATGATTATTCTTGTTTCGCTGAATACTAAGTTTTCTTATAGGAGCCCCTGTGTTGGTTACTTAATCTGAAAATCATGTGTGTGTGCCCATTGCTGTCGTTCTGCCAAGGTATTTGCTTTTCTAGTGTCTTAGGTAGAGAGCTTAAGCATTCCCATTTAGATTTTAATTTTTCCCCGCCATTGTTTTCAATGTTTACGCAAAAATATTTGCTGGGTCTAATGTTGTCTCTTCTTGTGATTGTTTTTGCTGTCATGCGCATCAGTTTTCTTTTCAGTTGAAAATAAAATAAATCTCGATTTGAAGGACAAACCCAAAGAAATAGTTGGTCGGACCATCTACGCGCAAATCAAACTGACAGCCTCGAAATTTCTGAGGTGCGGGTGCGAAATATGATAGGACCAGATCCAAAAGTCGTTATTTCAGGGGAAAGTGATGAATAGACTTGGATGTGGATTAACTTGGCATTTGGGGATTATTATAACTTGAAATGAACTGTAGATGGGAGCGTTGATTATCCACCCAATTTGAAGAAAGTTTATACTATAAAGATAGGTTGTGTTTAGATGCCCAACACAAGAAACACAAGAAACACCCACAAAGTTTCTAATTAATGACCAAATCGCTGGCGATTTTCTGCAATTAGCCGTGGACAAATATGCTGCGCATAATTCTGTATAAATTATTCTCAGAAGACTGCACAACAGACACAATAGTGGAACAAAACAAGATCGCGATTCGCAAAAACTCTTGAAACAAAAATACATTTTGTGCCAGACGAGGAACGACCAACAGACAAATAGAGATGCCAAATTGCCGGGTCGGGGGAGGAGGTTCTAGGATGCTCAGACAAAAAATTGAGCTGCAATTCAAAAATGTTCGCATTTATTCAAATTGCCCGGATGGGAAGTGCACAGAGGAACGCGGATCGATCCACTTGATATTAACACATTTTTGTGGCTTTCTGAATATGGATCTTTTAATATCTCGAGATAAATATATGGAACCACTTCGTGGCTTTTGGTATTTGTAAGGAACTATTTCGTATGAGCAAAATAGAGGCCTCTAAAAATCATATATGTGATTTTTAAAAGGTTTTACCCCGCTTCGTTGTGTCTAGTAACACAAAATATATCCTTTGGCGGTGAAATACACACACTTTCAGATACATTTGGGATCGTCAGAAAAGATTAAGTACCTCGTGCTTGAAATCTAAGATATCGAATGAAGATGTGAGCGAAGGAAGGGGCTGGCATGGGGATGGGGATTGGAATTGGGAACACTGGGGACATTTGGGACCTGGACCTAGTGCTTCCAATACACGTAGCTATAGTCCTTGAGCTTGGGATGGGTGCGCAGGACCTTGCGACAGATCCAGCACTTATCCTCTATACCGCACCTGCTGTCCGCGTAGAACTCCACAGTGCGCTGATTCAGGGTCGACAGCTGGCGCTTCACATTGTGGAGCGACGAGGAGACGCGATGGTCCAGCTTGTCCACCAGCCGGTCGTCCATGAGCTCGATGTGGAGCGCATGGGCGCGGTACTGGCCATCGAGGGGGGAGGAGGAACGCGAACGGGCACGCGAGACAGCCCGACTCGAGCGCACTAAGGTCTGGGCGATGTAGTCCTCCTCCTCCTTCTTGGCCGTCTTGATGTTCTTCTCCGATTCGGAGAGCAGCGCCTGGGCAATGGCACTGGCGGATTTGCCGCGAATCGAGCGCTTGAAATCGTCCGACATCTGGTCGAGTTCGTTATCCAATTCAATCTTACGGATGCGCTGCAATATCTTTAGGGTGTCGCGTTTGATCAGATCCTCGAGCTCCTCCTGGCGGCGGCGGCGGCGCTGGCGCGATCTTTCGACAACTGTGTCCGGTTCAAGGTGCTTGGTCACTCGCGATGCGTCGACCAACTTCTGTACACTGAACGGCGAGCGTTTCTGGGCCCGAAAGTTAAGCAATATCTCGTCGGCCCGAGCGGCGCAGGTGCGCGACAATCGGACGATCTCGTCGGCGTTATATTGTCGCACCGCATTCGAGGGGCGGTACTGCTTCAGCCCCCTTTCGCTGACCCACGGCAGGTGCGGCTTCTTGACCTCCAGACCCTTGGCCTTGGCGTCCAG